TGCGCCACGCGAGTCAAAAGACAACGCACCGGACGAGAAGTATATGTGCGAAACGCTGCACGGGCCGACATGGGTATGAAACACTCTGATAACAGTTCAAATCACGGCTGAGTTCTAATTTGAATTTATCGATCTCAAAGAATCACGGGACGTGTGAGTGGTGTGAAACAAGCGACAGTAAAACATGCTATGCAACAGAGAAAAACTCTAGTCTGCTTGTAACTGAGACTGTTTTGATACAAGGCGCACGGTTACTTGGGGAAATTGCGCACTTACCTTCCCGAACAAGTCAATTTGTTTCGTTTCTGTGCGCATTTGACTTTGGTCTGACCTACCATCTCCCCCTTGTTGAAATAGTCAGGCCGGTAGTTGTATAGCTTTTCCTTCGGGGATCGCCCTGAAATGGTTGCCCTCATCTTCTTACCCGTTGTGCCCTTAGCCGGTGTTCATTTTCAGTTGCGTATCCTGTTCGGTCGAAGTGCTTGGGTGCAAAGTGCATAACAATTTATTGAAATCAAGTCGTTTGGCGTCGCATGTCTCTGGGATCCTTGCAAATCGAGATCGCAGTTGGTTGGCGTGACGAACCCATACTTGCCTACCAACGCGAACATCGTACATTACTTTGCCACATCGTCCCACGACTTGACCTGGTATCCAGTTTATTCGATACCCTCGATGGGAGGCAGCAAACACTGCGTTTCCAACTCTGAAATTTCTGCGCCGTGCTCCGTACCGTCTGTTGTACTAGGCTTCCATATCCGAATTCGTACGAGGTGGTGCATACAGGACTGGGAGCCTGGGTCGAAACACTGGTGTAGCACAAGGTAACATCTTGTTCACCTGAAACTGTTCAGCAATGGTTTCACTTGGAATAGGTGGCATGGCTGTATGATGCACCATGATGTTGGTTTCAGAACACACATTATTCAGTGGTACATTGAGCAAATTCAATCTATCAATCCAATCAATGCCAAGAAGATTAATGTTGACACAAGAAGCTAAGTAGATGGTTCCACGGAGGCTCAGATCTTTGAATTTAATGTCACATGTGAACTCACCATCTAACCTCAGTGGTTCGCCGGATGCATTTTAGGCAGTCAGACTGATGCACCTCAGTGGAGATTTGCCAAGTCTCGTCCGTGATGATCGGCAAATGATGGTAATGTTCGATGCCGTATCTATTTGCAAGCATATGGGAACATCGTTAATTTTGACGGTGATGTACTTCCGTTTGCCCGCAAATTCTGTGCGACAGGTCGCGAGAACTACTTTTGTCTTTGCTCCCTGAAACGACGTCTTTCGGGATTTAGAGTTCGTGTACAAGTGTGGGGTAGACACAGGCCTGGAAACGTACGTTTTGCGATAGTGGGATTCTTTGTGACCCAGACGTTTGCATTTCTGAAAGAGATGCTTCTTGTAAGTACAGAATCGCACAAAATGCCATCCACCACAGTTCCAGCATGCGGTCGGGGGTTTCTGGTTAGGTACTCTATGGCTCACATTTTTACCTCGAACATCCGTGCGTAAATCTTTGGTTCACTCCTGGGGTCAGCATTTTCAATCATTTTGGTATCATGCTTTAAGTTAATCAGTCTCTGGCATTCAGTAACAATGTCCTGTAATGTCAAATGGGGTTCCTGCTCTAACTTGTGTAGGATGCATGTGCACACATCAGCATCGGCATGAGACTGAAGACTGCAAACAAATATGAGACTTTTGAACTGATCAGGTGTCATCGTACCGAGTTGTTCAAACGTGATAGCTATGATTTTATAACACATGCCGGAGTTATGAACCGAGAGTGTGAACTAAAACGTTCACACTCTCGGTTCAAAACTCCAGCATGTGTTATAAAATCATGGCTATCACGTTTGAGCAACTTTAAACAATTATAACGGATATTGAACAAAGATGCTTGCTCATCGAAAATGGACGTCAGAATTTGCACAGTCTCATCGAAGCGGAACTCCCTTGGATTCTTTAACAACACAAAATTGCTATAGCGTTCATGCTCAACTGCACCAAGTTTAGGCAGCAACAACCGAACTTTCCATGCATCATCTTGCGCCGCTAACTAAACGCGGAAAATATCTTTATATTTCTTGAACCAGGAATCACAAGTTACTCCGTTTGAATCATTAAAAAGGAACTCTGTGATTGCTGTCGTGACCGCGTCTACTGAAGATCGTGTGCCAGCAGGTTGGAGCGCAGATTGAACTTCAACTTCTGCGCAAATAATTCAAACAATTGCCTCTTGGATTTCTCGAACTGGAACTGCTGTTGATGGAGAAGCTGCTGCACCTGCTCAAACGAAATGGCCATTATTGTCCAACACCTTCGTCGCCAGAATCTGTTGTGTCCTCGGGGGTTCAACTTAGCAGCTTCTTAGATTGCGCCACGCGAGTCAAAAGACAACGCACCGGACGAGAAGTATATGTGCGAAACGCTGCACGGGCCGACGTTGGTATGAGACACTCTGATTACAGTTCAAATCACGGCTGAGTTCTAATTTGAATTTATCGATCTCAAAGAATCACGGGACGTGTGAGTGGTGTGAAACAAGCGACAGTAAAACATGCTATGCAACAGAGAAAAACTCTAGTCTGCTTGTAACTGAGACTGTTTTGATACAAGGCGCACGGTTACTTGGGGAAATTGCGCACTTACCTTCCCGAACAAGTCAATTTGTTTCGTTTCTGTGCGCATTTGACTTTGGTCTGACCTAACAGCTTTGTATGGAGGAAGCGCGCATATTGAGTCGAGTGAAGATGAAGCCAAGTTTAAACGGCCGAGGCCATGTTGTCGCAAATGGACAAGAGCAAATGATGACTGTCGCCGGTAGCCAAGTCATCCATTAGACTGCAAGCGAAATTAGGATTTTTCATGTACAATGAACAATAATCTATACCGGGTAAGACAGCAGTTGCTTGACAAGTCTCGCAGGATGGTACGGATAAAACTACAATATCAAAAGATATTTAAGTTGTCCGTTTGACCATTTGTCGAGCAGATACGCCGCTGAATAATAGAACTGTAAGTGGAAATAGAAAGCGAACGACGAGGCAACACGGGGGTGAGAAAAGTAAAAACAAAGATTGTCATAACGGTGTACCCGCAGTCGACCGGTTGGTTCACGCCTGCTGGTAAATCTGTGCCCTTACGCCTGCTCTGCTTGACGCTTTGGCCAACCCGACAGGAAGGAAAACAGTAGAAGACTCAGCTGACCATAGTTGTATTAGAACCGAGAACACACACATTTATAGGTCGGTCTCACTAATTCTCTAAACAGCACCTGGCGGATGTGGCTACCTGTCTTCTTCGAACGCCCACACTCCACACTTGACTCTCCGCTCCGTCTGGCCACTTCACCGGCTTGCTCGGGCACGCCAGTCTTCATTCGCCTACCTGAAGCATGGCAACATACATGATGTCTGACGTGCGATTTCATCAGCTTCCGGCTGGGCAGTGGCAACACGCTCGCGGAGTCTGTCCCAAGCACGCTTTGTTGCGAACACGCGCGCATTGGCAATCAGCTTTCTCGATCACCTGTAAAAGACACTTCTGTACGGCCTCCTCGGGTTTATGACATATTAATCAATCTTCGAGGGATAATTTATATATTGCAAAGTAGTACAGTTTAAGAACGGGTGTTGGGAGCCCAAGGCAAGATCCAATTGTTTTTCGAAAATTTCCAAGGTGGCGGAGGAAACAACGAAGTTTGGGAGAGAGTTCCAGCGTTGGCAAACCGAAAGAGAAAAATAATTCTGCCGGCATTCCAGGCGGCTATACTGAGCACACAATTTCAGAGGGTTGCCTCTGAGATTGGTGTTTTGGCTGAGTCTCAGCATACATGATTAGGGTCACCCAATATTTGGTAGACTAATACGAGATCGCCGCGCAGCCTTCCGCAGCGGCCACTGAAAACTCCCAGTAAGTTCAGCCTTTGATGGTAGGACAGATTTGTAGACCCTTGACGTGCTTTGTGGTCCTGAGTTGTGGTTTCTCCAGCACTTCTAAGTCGCATAAGAGCATGTGAGCATCGGTTACACTAGCCGCCAAAAAGTGATCAATTCACATTCTTCACACTTACTAATGGTGTGTAGGAACATGATGTTATAGACAACAGGTGACAGCGTTACAACTCATATTTACACGATAAGTTCCCAAAAAAGGAGGCCTGACGAAATGCCTCGGTGTGACCAAGATCATTTGGAACATATACTTGCATCAATTCGTGAAGCGCTATCTGCATTTTGTTCCTAGCATGACCCTAAATATGTTGAAAAGTTTGTCAGGATGGAAGATTAATTCGTTGCCTGAACACGAGTTTGAAACAGCTTAAAAACACCTCGCCAATAGGTTTCGTGGAAGCAGTAGATAAAGTGTGGTATATATATATATATATATATATATATATATATATATATATATATATATATATATACCGTATAAGATGTGCCGATTACGCTGTTACTTCCGGTGACAATGAAAAGTTACTGGTGCTGTCTAGGTTTAGTTTATCCATTTAAACGCTTTTGAAGATGAGCTACCCAACTCAGTGTGAACATGCCTATTCACCGCACAGTATTTCCAAGACAGCGTAAGTGACTTGCAATGGGGTTTAAGATATCGCTGAAACGTCTGCATCCAGTGTCTCCCGCCTGGGCCGTTGATTGGTTCTGCGCAAAACCAGGAACACACTTAACATGTGCCCAGGAGCACAAGTAGTCGAACCTACCAGTATAATTGAACCCGCTCACTGGGAATCAAGTTGTACCTCGATTGTGGCGCTGTGTTTGGTTTTAAATATAAAAAGCGCAACGATGAGGGACAGCGTGCATGACACCGGAGAATTCCAAAGTATACTAACAAGCAGAAGGAACTTGTGGTGTACCGAGTACAACATACTAGAATGAAATTCTAAACGGGTAAGAGTGATAAAGTTGAAAAATTGACGTGGCACTAGCAAAACGTAATCCACTGGAGGACTAATGACTCACCTTGACCAACAGCGCCCACGCTTGCGGGACATCCGCTTTGGTCATCTGTCGAAACCCCTTGACAGTTGTGGCTTCAGGCAGACGGTACAATTTGATGGTCCGCTGGAGCGTCATGTTGTGAGTAAGGTGGGAAAAGCCGCATTCGATCAGCTTCCGCGGATTCAGTGGACGATGCCAGTATCTGAGATGGCATAAAAAACCAAAGAATTTTTAAAGTGGCAAAGCATCACTGAAGACCCGTCAGTGTAGGTGAGTGACTTTGGAGACCAGTGGCACATGAGACCTAGATGTAACTAGATAATGCCGGAGAGTAACGTTGCGAGTTGACAGTGCTTACCACATACTATGGGGAAAGTACAGGAGAGTGGAGTCGAGATGATGATGATGATTATTATGTAAACGCGTCGTTTCGATTTGTAGAAAAGGTGTATCTGGAATGGCGACAGTATGAATTAGACGATAAGACCAACAGTCACAAGCGATAGGGTCTGACTGTGGCATAAGGTGTTAGAAAAGCTGAGTTCCTACCAAAGCACAACGAAAAATATTATCAAGCTGGAGCAAATCTTCTACACAAGAGCCTAAACTCCTTGAAAGTAACATTACTAAAGTTCCGGCTTATAGAGATAAAAATCAGTTGAAAAACATTGCCGCATAAGCAGACTAATGGCTATACAGTACTATGGTGGCGCGAAACAGATTTTCAATGGCAAACTCCGAAGCCAAACAATTACAGGGATGGCCAACGCATGCTTACCGAGTGATATGAAATTCCACTGAAGACTAATTAGATGAGATAGCTGAACACTGCTTTCAGGAAAAGTTGAATACCATTTTGTGAGTCCAATTGTATACTGACCTTAGTTTTGATCATGGTCGGTCAGAAGTCATGAGTTAACATTATGTGGCGCATCCTGAAGGCTTACAATCCGCAAGCAAAGTCAGAGTGTGGAATCGAAGCCGGTCTACCGCCGATCAGTACCTACTGGGTTCTGTCTTCAGCTCAACTGGATATCTGCACTTCAAGAGGCTAAACAAGGAAAAAACCAGGTGTGTCAAGAGGAATCAATCCTTAGTACCTGCCGTTTACTAAAAATCAAAATCGTGAAAACGATAGAGGATTACTTCAAAGTAAACTGTGGTCTAAATCGAGACTGTGTAGTGTAAAATAGGCACATAATAAGCACCCAAAACGTATAGAAACAATGTGTTGGTGTGTGCATTACACTTCCGAGTTATAAGGCAATGCGAAAGTATCGGGTATTCTGTGAACTGCTATTCATGAAAAAACATATAAGCTGAGTAAAAAATGCTGGCTGCAGAGGTAACAGGAAGACTTCATGCATTAGGGGCAGTGGGGTGGACTCAATCGAGAAAACCGCAGTATGTAGGATAACTCCGGAGGAACAAGTTGCGTACAATGAGCGATAAAGCAGCACAAAAAGTGAAATGATGACGTTTTGCTTACCGTACAAAAGGCGAGAACATAGAGGTAAAGCAAAAATACCGAAATATCACCTCTACACTACAGCAAGAGCGTGCAGGTAGTATGAGCAAAGCGGAACAAGGTTGTGAGATAGTAACCAGCGGAGGCAAAAACCACTGATGCCCAAAGTCACATGGGAAATGTTGAGATTAAAGATACTGTAAAGTATGTGCCACACCAATGGCCCACGGCTTACCGACAAGTGACCACTGGTCGAGGAAGCAGAGTGCCACTGGTATATAGGGCTTGAAAGAGGCCGCGTAAGTTGACGCGACGAGTAATTTCCCGAATCAAAACTGGAGCCATGCGTTTGGAGCGTAGTTTTCTGTGCACACACAGAAAATTGATCTCTACCATGCGTTTTCTCCTGGAGCGCAAAAAAGATGGGAGAAGAAGAGGATGTACGTCCGGATAAAGGCAAACACGGGATCTGCGGACAGGATACACCGATAAGACAGAAACTTATCATCATATAAAAGTAGAATGAGCATAGCTGTCTAGCAAATAATCCCCCAGATGTCTTCATGTGTTGTGGCAACACCTATAAATAATAGAAAGAAACAAATAAGAAGGAAATGACCAACACTGACACCTAATGACCGGGAGTAGAAACCCAGAAACACCGTCATTTCGAATACGGTCCAGGTGATCAGAATGATCGAGGTCTCAATAGAGATTATGTGTCGCAATCTAACCACACGGCTGGTACTCCAAATCCAACTTTAAAATAACCAACAATTGTTGGCAGCGTTAGGCCAGGTTGACTTGCTGATATCTAGAAACCCGGAAGAGAGTGTGAGCATCGGTTCAATGGTGGTAAAAAGACGAGATCCCCCCCCCCTCTGCGACAAAGCACGTGAAGCCAATATGTTAAAAATATTGGCTCAATTGTACGTCACTTGTAGCGGGTGCCTAGGGGTCGGTTGGTTGGAATAGAATCAGTAAATCTGGAACCGCTAGATCAGGACAATCTGAGTTTAGAAGAACAACAAGCTCATCAATATACTGAGATCAGGAAAGTTTGCTGCCCACGCACCGTGCCAATGACCACAACAAACAAGCCGAAATTCGATCACAATCTGCATTGAGCAGCTGGGACATCATTTGTATGAATGGAATTCGGCTGAACTCAAAGTTTAATGGTGCTGAAGTAGCGGTGCAGGGAGCCAACCGCGCAATAAGATGGTATCAATAAAGAAACTAGGATAATTCCGATATATTGCAAAGATCTGCAACACGGAGCACCGGATGACCAGAGGCACATGTCACTCGCTCTGAGACGCTTGCAACTAAGACAACGACATACACCAGTGGTGAACGTTTAGGAAATATCCCCACAAAGTCTGTTTCCGAGGTGGATTCCTACCTGGCATCCGCATGATGATCGCTTTGAGGTCAAGATACAGTTATGTTCTCATCTCAGAAGGGCAAGGTAAACAGACCGGAAACTTCGATACCCAGTAACATTACGTCAAAGATGACAGGCAAAGCTTCAACGCAAACATTCCACAGCACAATCATGTCAGGTTGTTTGTTCGACACAACGCGGCAAATCGGTCGTTCGTACTTGGCCCAACGTTTAAAAGGAGGGACTCAAAATCGACAAGCCAAGAAGAAAGCTGTTATACCTCCGTTATGGTGCTTACAGAGGAAGGAGAGATGGCTGACGCTGCAACACTCACATTGGTGTATATGGATGGACTGTGCATATGACGACCAAAGGTAAACTGTGAAGGTGGATGGAGTGGAGGCTACAGAAAAGCCAGTGGGGAAAACGCACTTCTCGGGAACGGCGTGTTAGAATGATCTCACAAACAGAGAGGTAAATGGAAGTGGAACTTACTCAACACTACATGAGTTGCGAAAATCGCGAAAACAGAAAAAAGTGGCACGGAAACCTGGGCGGGATAAAACAGACGCGCCAAAGTCTGTAAACATTTTCAACTGTCAAACATTGAACGCAGGCATGGAGTGTTGATAACTAACCATGTGGAGATATGCCAGATCCGTAACAGAACGTCTGCGCGATCTGGCTTTCACACCTTAATAAACAGCCATTCGCGCACACCTAATTCATTTCACTGTCGTAGGGTGACCAGGAGAGATTAGTGCACGGATAAAAGCTATCATAAATATTTTAAGGAATCGTATTATTTGTGTTAGTACAACCCACTTTTCACCGCATGGACCCCAATGCCCCTCCCCCTAAAACATTTTCAAGTGCCCCTGAAAATGCTCCATGGCCCCCAGGGCGCCATATGACTACCATTGTGAATGGCAGCTCTACATAATCACTTCAGTTAAACGTTCACTGTTTCACAGGACGTACCATTGTTGAATACGCCCAGTAACATTGTGAAATTGAGCACAATGATGTTCAGCTGTAGAGATATTTAGCAACCAACTATGTCATCATCATTACACAATCATTATACATGTCAGTTAGAGGTGGGAAGCACCTTAGCTACTGTGCCGCAATACATAATGGAAGAGGAAAAGAAATACAGCAGTTACATGCCAGCTGAGCTACCAGCAACGGATAGGCATCGTTCCGGTAAGCTACCAGCCGGCTACTAGGCAAAAAGAAAAATTATTGCGTTTCACGCTACGAAATGAGATCGTGGGTGGAGGGGGAGGCTAAAAGGGATGGGGAGGGAAAAAGAAAATCACAGCAGAAAAGCCACTGAGGTCGGCTCCTTGCCTTGTCAGCAAGTGTATCCAGACAAACGTGTTCACCGTCTTTTGGACCCCAACCAGGGAGCCGTGACGCTCAAACGGAGGCCAGCTCCGAAGTGAGGACCTTCATTCCTCTGGAGCAAGTCATCGCCTGGCCACCCCTCCTCTTCTTCCATCCACATCCCCGGGGAGCAAACAACGCACGTCGTGAAAGTCGATGGGTTGGCATGCGCAACACGCGGTCCAGCCATCGAAGCTTGGTGCGGGAAATAACGGTGCTGAGCGGTTCAGTTCCTTTTCCTGTGCCATAAACAATGCGTCGAACACGCTCGTTACTCACGCGGTGTTCCCACCAGATGTGAGCCAAACTGCGAAGGCACCGATGATCGAACGTAGCTAGCCTCTTTATGTCCGCCGATCTTAGGGGCCAGGTTTCGCGACCGTACAGTAAGGTCGAACGTACCGCTGCATTGTACACTCTACCCTTCAGGGCGAGAGTAATGTCGTGCCGCCGCCATAGGTGGCGAAGGTTAGAAAAAGCACTTTGAGCTTTCGCTATATGGTTCGTGATCTCGTCTTCGATCCCAAGGGCGCTAAATTTTGGAACGATATCTAGCTGATCCCCACCAAGCGTCAGCGCAGGAGGCGATCCCTGTAAATCTTGGAGGAACGCTTTGCACTTCGAGGGTGCAAAGCAAAGCCCGAAGCGGCTGACAACCAGCGCTAATCTGTCTAGCGCGACTTGGCACGTCTGGGAGCTGTCACAGATGAGGGCAATGTCGTCTGCATACGCTAAGTCAAGAAGTCGTTCTCCTAGGAGTAGCTCCACACCTTCCAAGTCATGTCCTGTAAATGCAATCTCCATGACTTTGTCAATAACGAAGTTAAAAAGGAAAGGTAACAACGGACATCCTTGTCTCACACCGCTAGAGCTATTAAAGAATGACGACAGCTTGCCGTAAGCCCTCACTCTGCCCGTGCTACGCACGTATAATGCTTGGATAATAGTTAGATATTTCTCGGGCACACCTTTCCTGAGTAGATAGTCCCAAAGGGCATATCGATGAACCGAATCGAAGGCACCTTTGATGTCGAGGAACACGACTACGGTGGGCCGCTAATATGTGTGACGGTGCTCCAACAACTGACACAAAGTGAAGATGTGGTCAATTCAGCCACGATCCCGACGAAACACGGCTTGCGCTCACGAGTCTGGCGTTCACGAGCGCCAGTCAGTATGTGAAGGATGACAGAGCCGAGTAATTTGGAGGCGATGGAGATCAGTCTGATTCCTCTATGGTTGCCGCATTCCTAACGCAAGCCTTCTTTGAAGATGGGAACAATAACGCAGCGGCTCCAGTCGGTTGGGACAATCTCCTGCTCCCACATTTTCACTAGTAATTCATGCAAAGCATCAACAAAAGCAGAGCCTCCGAATTTGAAGAGGGCTGGAGGAAGATCATCTCGTCCCACCGCTCTGTTCAATTTCAACAGTCCGATCTCACGTTCGACTTCTGAGCGAGAGGATGGATCCAAAGGGACAGCCCCCGGAGCAGGGCGATCACTGGCCGGCGTAGAATCGAACAATTCTAGCCGATTAAATTGCTTTTCAAAATGCTCAGCCCAACAGTCCAAACGCTTTGACAAATTGTGGATAGGTTGTTCACTCTCGTCACGTATAGTATCACTAACACCAGGTCTCCTGCTGCCCGTTTCCCGTATCAGACGTAATAACTTACGATGGTTGCCAAGGGCAGCGGCCACTTCCATCTATGACGCACGATGAGACCACCAAGATTCGCGGTCTCTCTTCAGGCTAGCTAGGAGTTTTGTCCGGAGTTCTTTGCGAGTTTTGTTGCGTTCGCTTCCAGCCGGAATATGCGGGCGAGCGTCGATAAGTTCCAGAGACTGTGAAGAGACCCAATGTCCATGTTGGTGATTAGACATGCCACATGAGGATTTTCCTGCTGCTAGTAAGGTCTGGTTAGTATGAGACCAGTGAGCTTCAATTGCATCCAGTGAGCGTTTATCCAACTCGCATGACAGCGTACTTTGATAGGCATTTAGAACAGCTGGCTTCGCCAGTTGGCTGGTGTCAATGCGCTCACAGCGTCGTCGTGGACGTCCGCCAAAACGCATCCGCATGTCAGCACATACAAGTGCATGGTCAGTGTCCACACCTGTGCTCCAAATCGAGCGACAGTTCTGGATGCATCCTCTCCATCGGTAACTTAACGCAATGTGATCGATTTGCGTCCAAGGATGGCTCGAGGCTGGTGGGCGCCAAGTCACCCTCCGGCGGGTGCTGTGTCGGAAATTGGTGCTCGCAAGAAATAAGCGAGCATCTTCACACAAATGAAGTAACCGCTCACCGTTATCATTACGGGAGCCTACACCGTGCTGACCGCCCAGATGCATTTCATCAGTGGACAACTTTCCAACTTGTGAGTTCATATCCCCCGCCAGCACAACAGTGTCCGTGCTTCTTCTGTGGTGAAGTAGCTGAGTCAGTTGGCGGTAGAAGTCGTTCTTTACCGAATCATCGCTACAGTTTGTGGGCGCGTAGGCAGCGATGATGAATAGACACCTATTAGTCCCCGCGACTTCGAAGCTTTGGACGAGCCAGCCAATCGGACCGCACACATCCGGCTACTGATTGGAATCCAATCAACCAGAGCAGCTTCAGCCCGGGGACTCAGGGCAATGCCAACACCAGCTTTACCGGTGCTCGAAGCTAAATCATCACCGGATAGGAGCAATGAGAAAATACTGCTTGCGTCAACTGAAGGGGATCGCAGAGTGAGCACAGAGCTGGAGACCAACTACGACCCTGGATTAAGGCCCGGAAGGTTTACCTACTTGCTTGTTAAAATACCATGGCCCATGTATACCAATTTCAGTCCTAAGCATGTTCATCATGTCCATGTCCAATCCGATGGAAACTTGCGATAGTCAGGCTTAGGCACAAAAACGGGCCAAAAGTGCACATTGGAAACTACGGCCCGAATAGTCACATGTCTATTGTTGCGAGATTAACGGAGGGAACAGTGAGAGAGAAAGCAGTAAACCATCTACTTTCACAAAACCCGATTAGCCAGGCTCAGCATGGCTTTTTACAAAAGCGATCATGTCAAACATAACAGCTGGAATTTTTGGATTGTTTAACGACCTCTGTGGATAATGAACATGAAGCTAGCAGCATTTTCATCGACACGCGAAAAGCATTCGATAGAGTGCCACGTGACACCTGTAAGGAAAAATGGCACCGTTTGGTATCATGGATCCCTTGAATGTCTGGTTTAGATCATACCTTACTGATCGCAACCAACAAGTTCAAATAGAAATTCACAGGTCATAATCGCTGCTTGTCACTAGTAGTGTAATCCAAGAGTGTCTCTGGTCATCTGCTCTCTTTGATGTATAGCAATGACATAACAGACACCATTAAAAATAGTATATCCCACCTTCTGTTGATGAGATTAAGATGATACACTTTTAACCCTTGAAATCTGAGACACCTAGGAAAAGATATGGAGATACTCACTGGCTCTAGAAACATGGTGTGAGAACTGGTATATGTCGTTCACTGCGGATAAATGCGGAATATTAGCGTATCAATGTAAAATTGATATGGACACCTTATACTTTTGCGAAAAAGCCAATTCCATTCCGCAACCCAAGATGAGACTTGGGTATTCAGTATGCAAGCACCCACAATTTCGTAGAGCAGAGCGAACCCATAGCAATCAAAGTCCGCCACACCCCCCATACTGCGTGACTCCAAGGTTCATATGTTAAAGATCTGCGTGCGCCCTTTACTGGAATACTGTCCGATGATATTTACCAGTTGTAAGAAACGCGATCGTTTATACCTGGAGAACGTGCAGCCTTGGTTCACCAAAGCCTTATTTAGTGAACCACTAAAACCAAACTGTTCAGAGTGCTGTATATTGCTTAAATTAGAGCATTTGAGGCTACGGAGATTGAAACTGGGTCTGAAGTTTCTGTTCGACATAGTGCACAAACGCGTATTTGATCCGCACAGTAGCATACACTTCAGTCATAAAGGAAGATATTGCGTCAAAAACAAAAAGAATTCGATTTCTACATGCATAGCTAAAACAAGCATATGCGGGAAATTTTATCTGACAAAGTACTCGGATACCTGGAGCAGGCTACCTAGTGAATTGCGGCTCTGTGAGTCAAAGCAATGGTTAAAGATAAAGGTTGCATAAGTACCTCAGAATGTTGCAAATCAAAGCTCTGATGAAACTAAATTGCAGAATGGAAACAATGTATGAAGAAGGGGTTGAAGTATAAGTGCACGAGGAAAACTTTGCAAGATAATGTGTACAAACTGTCTGAATAATATCCTTTTCGTTCCGCTAAGCAATGTTTCATTCGCCCATGCCAACATTACGTGATCACTCGTTCTGCCATGGAAACCTGACAGTTCCCTTCTCCCTGTACGTTTGTTCCGTACTGCCAACTTTCATCACTATTTATAGGAGAAAACAACTCGAATATGAGTGACAGTTGTTGATGCTCTGCGAAGTCATTTTTCCATATCAATTACTTTACAATTTGATTGCCTGGAGTCGTTAAATTTACGTCAGAATAGTTTAGAGAGCTGCCTTTTTTGTTTTTTTAGGTAACACCTATGTACTATCCGAAACACAATCCGTCAGACACATGTCACTCGTAGATGGATATCAGAATTTCAGTGTACTTCTTTTTTCATTGTTGGCCACGGTTAGGGTGATCGCCAGAGGTGGCGGAGTGCAGCTTATAAGATAATCAATACACTCACGCGAGACGAATGGACGCAGACTTGGCGAGTAGCAAAAATATCAGGCATAAAAGAGTCGGATGTTGAAACGAGTTAAATGGCCTAGAAGAACGAAAAAGAAAAAAAGAGCATATTCCACTGAGATCCTACCTCTATGTATACATAAAACGACGGCACAGATGAGCTAAAACAGTGATGGATTGCTTGCTTTTATGTCACACAGGCACCAGCCCAGGTGCAGCGTGGAAGTGTGGATGAAACCTTTCGAGAGAGTACTCCGTATGGAAGTAGATCGCCAGGAAACGGTTTCACGGATGGCTGTATGACTTCGCCTGAAATTTCTCAATAACCACTCTCGTACTACTGTCAACTCCACCGTCTTTCTACCGTTTTTTACTGATCGAAGAACCCGAAAACCTATCTGGGAATTGGTTTGGAAAACTTGTACTTATATTTATGGTTGGTGATCCTGTTGTACCTATTAATCAGACCACCTAGTTGGATTGTACAGTGGAGAAACATACAACTTATTAAAGCATTAGTTAACCTCAATTCGAATGGAAGTTCGCCTGAGTTGTCACTGACTCGGTCCGCATGAGAAACAGCGAGCTACGAAAGTAGGGTGTAAGTGAGTGGCTTGGAAGCAACAAGATAAGGCTAGCGCCAAGATGAATTACACAAGAAATCCATTGGTCGATGTGGATAGGAGCAAACGCTGACAGCCGCTGGTCAGAGAGCCCTACCTTCGTGCATCGAATGGTATCGAAAAGAGCTACTAGACCAGACACCGGTGAGTAACTGATAACTTTCAGCATCAGTTATCGGCGAAACATGTCAATGGTATGGGCTGTGAATTCAACATCCCGCGTCGGTTCAGCAAATCAAACTAACAAACGTTACATGAGTGTATGTGGATCAAAAAGAGTAAACATAAGCGTGGTGATTCCAATGACAATTCCTCAGTGTCGAATACTGCCCGGTTAAGTTCCAAGCACCTACCAAGAGTGAGAGGCAAGGTACCATATCGGCAGTCTAGAGAGGGCATAAGCCAGATGGCATTTTCGACTGATAGGGAGCAAATGATGAACTTACTTTTCGTAAACCTGCAATTCAGTGGGGATGGCAGCGATGAAACCGATGAGCTTTCTACTTTTCTGGGCTCTCAAGCCCACAAGCCAATCTGGGTACCAACCGGGTGGACGCAGTACCCTAAGAAAATGACAGAGACGATATAAGGGAAGGGAGGTGGTGAGTTACTCGGTTAGTTCGGTGTCGAGATAAATTTGCCGCCTGGATGTGCGCTGGATCCCGAAGGCAGTAAGCTTCAGATCTTCGGGTGTTAAGAAACTCGACTATTATCGTCACAGTGATCGACCGGCAAAAACAGGGCTCAAACAATGGTATAATAACCAGTTAAGCTAAGCAAGCACGTTTTCATTAGTGAATCGTCCAGTGAGGTTGCGATCCGAAAACGGTTGTGAGATTGATTCAATAAACTCGGAGACTGGAAGAAAGATGTGGGGTCATTTCTGTCAGTGGAATGGGCTGAAATGCTAAGTACAAATAAAATGATAAAGAAGCACGACAAACGGTTTGCGTTATTCTAAGACGTATAGCGCCAGTATTTTTGACAGTATCTAAGCTAGAGAACAAACTCTGTGACTGCACAGTGAAAGGAACAACGCCAGTCGGACATAATACAGAAGCCGCATGCGATTGAGATTGAATAGCTGCATGGTTGAATATAACGGGGAAAACAAACAGCGATGTAGTGGTTCGGGGGTGGGCTTGCTATCAGTATACGTCAGGTTAGCGACTTCAATTCCAAATGTCAAACACAACTTCTGCTCTCTTCGAATCTAGTGTTAGCCTATATCAGTGGAACAAAACAATTCCCTCCTTGGTAATCGCCGACAACCGCGCATACGGAACATGAACGCAAGCCAAGGCAACTAGTATGTTTTGTTATTGAACTAAGGAGATGGTCCGATAGTTATTGCTCATCACTCTCCTGTGCACATTACTATTGCTGACATGCTGGTACCGTCAGAAACCAGATATACCCCGTAGGTAAAGGTGAGCGAAGACGTAAACCGAAAGGGCCAAGTCTTACTCCCATAGACGAAAACGAGCCTGACTATGGCCCTTGGTACGCCGTCTTTTAGAACGATGGAAATCCCTCTCCGGAACCACAGACGCCACAGGTTCTGAAATGTATTTGGCCTTCGTACTAGGCAACCTACAGCAAGCGTGCATCTAATGCTGCAAAGACAAGTTTCAAGATAGGAACAGCTATCTATAGTTTACGTAAAACATTTGTTCCCCTTCATCCATTTCGTCAAAGCACAAAGAAGACATAGGTTGCGATATGTCAACATTTCGATTACTCTCATCAGTCACAAACACAATACAAGCAGAAACACAGACACATTTATATACATTGGGAAATATTGGCACACCAATGAAACTGTCAAAACCAAGACCAAGGCAATATGACTGATTGCCTCAAGAGTTTCTGCGCAAATAACAGGCTGATAAGCGCTAATTAGCAACGCCTCACTGATTGCCAACCTTATCGGGTTTCTGTTACGTAACAACACTGAACGCATTATTAGGGTTCACGTGGTGACCAGTTGTCAAGAGGTGTTTGGCGATAGATGATGACGGACTCCGATTCGTTCTGTGGGGCGTTCCGTTCTGTTGCGCCATCATTTGTTCGACTCACTTTGGTAATTGCTCAGCCACCCTCTGAGATAACCGAGGGTTAGTCAAGCCTAAGTAAACATCAACTCAACTGCAGGTGAATTGATAAACCACATGAGAGGCCGAACTAGCCGAAGGTTAGCTCTGACGGTCCTGAAGAACCAGTGTTCAAGGAGGTGTTGGGTTTTCGCTTGGTAAGCGTTCTCTCTATAAAAAGTCGCCTATGTTCGTCCATTTCAATCGGTTTTGTGCTATTCTTCTGAGTGTTATAAGCTATCAGCATTCTTCATCTTTCGGTCCCCAACCCAGAAGGCTTACCGGATCAGCAATTGGTATACAGGATGTGAGCGATTTGATGCGTTAACGCCAGGTGGTCGGCTGGCCACCACGCGGCCTCTTACAATGTATCTCTGTACGCACAAATAGGGCGCGGCGTGGCAATCGCTCGTCAGGCATGCGCAAGACATGGTCAAGCCATCTCAACTGGCGCCATAGAATAAGCTCATGGAGCGAGAGATTCGTTTTTACTAAAAACGTGGTCTGATATCATTATTGCGGACCCGATGTTGCCACCATAAACGGGCGATTCTCCGCAGACAGCCGTTGTCAAAGGCTTAAAGCCTACGCATGTCGTCCACTGGAATCGGCCAGGCTTCGCATCCACACACAAGTATCGGATGAACACATTGTAAACCCTACCTTTTAGCAAAAGGGAGATGTCGCGACTACGCCACTGATGTTCCAAATTAGCGAACGTTGAGCGGGATTTCGCGATCCGGAGAGACACCTCTTCTCCAACGGTTCCGTCGGTAGAGATACTGCTCCCAAGGTAAACACAACTATCCACCTGCTCAAGCCAAATATTTTTGATGGCGAGCTGAGAAAGAGCAGTTTTCCAATTCTGTGTCAGCACTTTGCACTTTGAAGGTGCAAAGCACATATCATACTTGGACGCTTCAATCACCAGTCGGCCAAGAATCGATTGCATCCTATGAGGGTCGTCACCGAGCAGGGCGATATCATTCGCGTAATCTAAGTCGGATGCACAATTACCTGGAAGCAGCTCAATTCCAGTATTCTGAAAACCCTCCAGCGCTCCTAACAGCACATCTTCGATCGATGTTGCAAAGAAATGGAGACATAGGGCATCCTTGTCGCACACCACTGGTGGCAGGGAAGAATGCTGAGAGCTTGCCGCAGGCTCTTACTCTTCCTGAGGTATGAAGATATAACACCCGAAGAATAGCGACGTTCTTTTCAGGGACTGCGTTTTTTAATAGACAATGCCATAAGACAGGTCGGTCTACAGCGTCGAATGCAGCCCGAATGTCTAGGAAGACGACGATGGTGGGTCTGCAATATATGTGGCGATGTTTAAGGAGCTGATGAAGCGTGAAAATATGATCCACGCAACCTCTACCAGGGCGCAAACCAACCTGCTCCTCCCGATAGTGCGCTTCGCGTGTTGGCGACAGCCTGCGAAACATAATGAATACCATCAGCTTGAAGGCAACTGATACCAGGCGGATCCATCTATGATTGGCACATGAATCCCGGGAGCCTTTCTTGCAGACTGGGACAATAACTAACTCTCCCCATGAAGTGGGGACTTTTTCTTCACTCCTGATCTTCATAAATAGGGATGTTAGCCGGGTTACAATTTTCGTGCCACCATATTTGAACAGTTCCGGAGAAAGCGCCTCTGAACCAGCAGCCTTAAAGCGCTTCAAGTGTCTAATCTGAAGGCGAACTTCGGCTTCAGTGGGTGGTTCGAGTGACACGGCCCATGGCATACTACGGGGCGAGCTAAGTACAAAAGTGGACGACGGGGAAGTATTGAACTGAGATTGGAATTGCTTAGCCCATCTGTACATGCGTCTCTAAAAGTTGGTGCTTTATGACCCATCCGCCTCACAGATAACTGTGCCAACACCAAACGTTTTGTGACCGCTATACCCAATGAGCTGAAACAACCTGCGATCATTGCCAGAGAGGGCGGCGGTTTCCATCACCAAAGCGCGTTGAGACTACCAAACTTCACGATCACAGCGAAGGCTCCGTCTAACTTGGTGGTTGATAGCGCGGCGAAAATCATTATGATCGCAGTTGTAAGGGAGAGTTTGACGGCGATCGAACAATGTCAGGGAGCGCGTGAAGATCCAACTCTTTGAGGTGCGATAAGTGTATCCACAGACTGATTGACCAGAAGATAACCTCGTATTCTGCAAGAGGTTCCAATGCAATTCGACGTCAGTGGGAAAAGCACAAGCTAAGACGTTTGCCAATGACAATCGGCAGTTCAGCTGAGTCAACTGATTGGCTGCTAACTTGTTCGTGTCAAGCTTACAATGCTTCCGTTTGGGCGGATCCAAAAGCGCATACAAATGTTCGTACAAACCAGTGCATGGTAAGAATCAAGGCAAGTAGACCAAAATGATCCGCAGTCCTGTATGCTGCCTCGCAACCTGAAACTGATTGCAACTTAGTCTATTTGAGACCAGGCATGCAATGGTGAAGGACACCAGATGGCAGAACGCCTTCTCAAGTGTCTGAAGTTCCTGCTTGCGGGAAATAACCCATTGTCTTCACACAAAGTAGCCTGGTCCGGTTATCGGAGCGGTTCTCGTGCAGTGCATGATGTTCACCTAGGTGATATTCATCTGACAGCAGGCGACCGACGCATGCGTTTAAGTCCCCGGCGGGGACGACGACATCCAATTTGGTGGCTTTGAATAAAAGCTGATGAAATTCGGGCTAAAAGTCGTCCTTGATCAATTCACAGCTACAGTCAATTGCCGCATAGACGGAGACAACGAACGGGTTGCGCCATTCCGCGCGGTGTCTGTGGACTCTGCATGAACCTGTAAGTTGTACTGCACATAATCGGCTGTTGACTGGGATTCAGTCCAGCAGTGCGGCCCCAGCTTTGCTGCTTAATGTCACACCAACACCTGTGAAACCAGCTGCAACCACTTCTGTGTCGCCACAAAACGTAGATGGTATGTGGCTCCCTGGTTCGTCGGCGAAGTGAACTAAACCACAGTGCTCGGGTCTTTCAATCTAGCTTTGGAAATGCAGCATATATTAATAGCGAACTAGTCCAGATTGCGTGCTAGACTGGCCTGTTGTCCAATCTGCATGAGAGTTCGAACATTGAACGTTGCCAGCCGAAACGAGAATCGGGATCGAAGGATAGCCTCAGGCCGGACTTTGTGGGTGGCATCGAAACCGGTGTATGAATTAAAGTGAGGGTAAGACTGATTACTAAACGATAAATGGTTGGTGTGTGATGGAGACTGATGCGAGACGACTGTGAGAGGAACAAGAGCGTGCGACGAAGTAGTATTGTGATCCATGGTTTCCGCAGCGGGCACGATACTGCCCCGTTACCCAAGCCGAAGTAATAACTTGTCTTAGGGAGCTCCACCTCGAGCCTGTAGCCCGATAGCCTACCCTCAAGGCAGCAGGGCGAATTCAGGGAATCACATTCATTGGAAGCAGATGTC